TTTATAGACTTCTATATAAATGATTTTGTAATAACGTTTTCAATTTTATTTTATTATTTAAATAGAATGATTTAATTTTGTCTTTTGTCTTTTCATCTTTGATTTTTGCAAGTTACAAAATATTCAAGACTAAAAATATTTCAAATATAAATATGAGAAATAATCCATCAACATTTTCAAAGTAGATATTTGAAGAGTAAAATAAGATTAAAAGTAAAAAAAAATTACCAAATTTTTAAATAGGATTAAGAAAAACTAATAATTTCAAAAAATGTGATAAAATTTAATTGTAAATCAAATAACAAAAACATAAAAATTAATAAATAAATGATATTTTTCTCGATCAATGGTTTTGTAGTAATATTCTTACTTTGATTTTATTTATGTTAACGGATGATATAATTCTGTTCAACACAATTAAATATTTTATTTTCGATAGGTTTATAAAAAATAAAATCACATACCCGCATATATGCGGATCTATCATCTAGTTAATAAATAACTGTTATGTTATTCAATCAGTAGTTTTGGAACAATGTTCTTGCTTTTATTTTAACGAGTGATATATGTTTAGAACAAATTAAACTGTAAACCCGCATATATGCGGATCTTTTAATCTAGTTGACTTTATAAAAGACCAGGAAATATGAGGATTTAGTGATGATTTTATTGAATCTACATAAAAAGATTTAAAGGAATTTTGAAGTAAAAAAACACTTCAATTGGAGGTTATCAATTAAACCACCAACAAAAAGAATTATCAGACTATTGATTTTTCCTCTGAAATTGATACTACTAAGTAGGAGGGAAGAATCTGTTGAGGTTAAAGGGCAAAGTGTAGAACTCTTCATTGCGGTTATCTCCTCTGAAAGTTCTAAACTTGACCCACCAAGGCATTCCTCTGTCTTTCTTTGATCTCTCTACTTCCACTGTGTTGTCCATGAAAACCGCAATGATCAGACCCACCGTCGCTGGAGACATGAACACCGTGTTCAAGAAAGCATTGAACCATCCTGCGTTTGTGTGAACTAGCCCATAATGTCTAGCATCCCAGTACTGAACGAAGAACTGAGGTATGGAGATTCCCAGAAAGAGCGAGAGACCAGTGATCATCAAGTTTCTCATGCTGTTCATGTTTGTGAACTGAAGAAATGAGAGACCAACTGCAGCTGCAACAAGACCCACACAACACATGTAAATTTGACTAATACCATAATCTCTATTCATTTTCCGTGGTCTGACTTACCGACAAGGCCAAAGAGCACACAGTGCAATGCTGCGTATATCGGGACTGGTATAGACGCAAAAACAGCCCCGAATTTGCCTGCCCGAAACAAACAACATCACATTAAAATCGCATGCAGGAGACCATACAATAGAATGGTTATGTATGAGTTAGCTGTTATACCCAATGTAGAGAAGAAAATCATGAACCCTGCAGAGACTTGAACAACACGACGGCTTCCAACTCGTGTTAACCCAAGAAGTCCTACATTCTCTCTGCAATCATTTAACACCTTCATTAGAATGTGTAAATATGTAAAAAGAAAAAGAAAAAATAAAGTAGCTTTACTTACACAAGAACAGTAGAACCTGTGCCTGTTCCAAATAGACCATCAAGCAACACACCAATGCCCTGATTTTAAGAAGAAACACAGCAGAACCAGATATAAGATATAGAAGAAGGTGAAATGTATATAAATGTGTCTGTCTCTTTATCAAACAACTGATTCACCTGCCATCCAATGCCTCTACTCAACACATAAGCAGGAGGTGGCGTGGCTATGGCTAATCTTGAAGCCGCCATGTAAGCTCCAGTAGACTGCACAATCCATTAATTTAACCATCTCATTCAACCCTCTAGCAAAATCAAACTTGAGTTTACTTGCAATGAATCTAACGACGCTGCTTCTTTACCTCAACCATGGATACAAGAACCGCAGACATCATAGCAAATGAGTGACCTACTGAAAATGTTGGAGGCCCCCATTGGAGAGGGTATGGAAATTTGAACCTGATGAGACATTATAAGCACAACGAGATATGGACAATGTAACCATAATAGAAGAGGATACGGAGCTATTCAATACCATGGAGCTGTTGAGATAAGATTTGCTCTGTCTGTGCGACAACTATGCTGTGTAAGCGATGGCTTGCCTCTGTAAGCTCCACTCGCAGTCAAGATTATGGCGTAGATCCAAACAAATGTTACACAGATCAATATCGGAAATCTTTCAAATATTGGGACATCTTTAAATGGTCTGACATGTTTTAGATACTGCCAAGAAGAAAGTAACATTAGTAAGAGAGAAATAACTTGGAAAGAAAGCAAAAAGGTTGAACATTTACTTGGGTTAATCCGATGACAAGCAATAGCATTGGTAGTCCAATCTCAATGCAGTTCCCGAGCTGGTGGAAATCGAGATAATCAAAGTTACAAAGAGTTAAGTTGTTGATGTTTAATGCAAGTACAATGGTGTCAAGTAGGAGTTACCTGGGGAAATCCTCTCTGGAACATTCCGAGACCAACCAATCCAACAACTGGTGCCATTCCTAGCGGACTGAAAAACCTGAAATTGAAAAAGATCAAAAGCAAGTAATAAGAATTTGGATAACAAAAGGCAAAGGTGGTATATACCTTGAGAAGAGACCCCATACTTGGCTGTAGCCAAGAATGATCTGTATGCTTGATGCTACGATTAGTGCCCCTTGTATGGCTCGCATGGTGTGAATAAATCTCTGCAACATTGTTGATATGTATACGAAACAGTTTTGCAAGAAATGAAGAAATCAAATGATCTTGTGACATATCTATATATATGATGATTGAGTTTTCAACAAGAATGGCTTTATACCTCATGATCATTGGAGATCCTCTGCAAGGATGAGTCATTAATGATGTAAGCAATGGGAACTACAAAAGCAAAGGAGCCTCCAACAATAGCAGGCAACCTTGTACCAAAAAGTGCTTGGAGAAGTGTCTTGATTCCAGCAACAAAGAGTAGCGTCTGCATAACCCGCGCTTTGTCCCCCTTTCGATACGAAAGAATTATATTAGCAAGATGTTGCAACTAAGTATAGAGAAAGAGAGACATTGTAGACTTACATCACTCCCACCCATTGCTGGTACGAGCAATGCGGGTATAAAAGCACTTGATCCAAGCATTAGAATGTAGTTTTGAAATGCTAGTAACACTGTTTCAGCTGCAACAAAACACACAACATTAGGTTCAAATTGGGACTAAGAGGTTGTTCAATTATATATGCATCAATCAATCAATGTTCACAAATAGAAACATAACAGTCATTCTTTACAGCTAATCTAATCGAGTGTTGCAATTACGCATTTATCTTCTTTGTAATTACTCCCC